GAGGAGCTGTTATGGACTGACTATAACTCGCCTCCCATTCCCCATCCCCCTGCGCTGCTCAGCAGGAGGTAGAGGAATCAGGAATGAAGGAGTGAAGTTGAGCCTGGGAAGCAGGGTGGGGGAGAAGGTGTTGTTTTTATATTTTCTTTATTTCTCACTACCCAAATCTATTTTAAGTGGCAAAAACTTAAATTAATTTTCTCCAAGTCAAGTCTGCCCATGACAGTGAATGGTAAGCAATCTCCATTTCTTTGTCTCAACCCACAATCTTTTTCATCCTATTTTCTCCCCCTGTCCTGGTGAGGAAGGAGAGTGAGTGAGCAGTTGGGTGGGTGTTTGACCCTTTGCCAAGGTTAACCTACCACAATGTCATTTCTTGTTTCTTCAGTATAATGTAAATGAGAGTACTGTGTTTGGTATGAACTGATCGCTGTGTCAGGAGTAAAGCAATGACCTCCATTAAGTAAAACTAAATACAAACTTTTAAATCCTATTGTAGAGAATCTTTTCCTGTTTTGATAATGTAGATCCTAGTAATGTACTTTCAATACTCAGGGTTGTTTGATATGTGCACTTTTTCATATCTGCATGCAGTCTCTATTAAAACTTTTGGGAACTAAATTGACAGGCTACAAATCCTTTGTATTTAGGCAAGACAGTAAGGAAAATTGTACAAACATTCTGGCTTTAGGATCACAAAATATACATATAAAGTAGAAAAGGTACTACTGCTGTCTTTACTGATTTTCCCTTGCAGTGAAATATCTTCCCATTACCTTGTTCAGTCTTCTATGACAAAAGTATTCATGGCAGAAGTTATTAGCGCATGATTTGACAGGAAGAATATGTTGGATATACAGTTCTTGTTTTACAACGGTGATCCTTTTGGCTTTACAAAGTCTGTCGCGTTAACCCTTCATCCCCCCTTATGTGCATTCTCAGGATACAAAGAACAAATAAGCATGGAATCACTTCTGATCAGAATGACACTGCTTTGATTACTTTCTTCTCTAAAAAGCCAAAGATTTTTGAAAGAAGAAATAATTGGAAATGTGTTAAAAAGAAGGGCCTGGGACAAAACAGAAACTTGCCACTAGTGTGATAAACTGGGATGCGTGGCCACATGACTGTATGCTTGCACCTGTGTTTGGTTCTGCAGAATGCAATGGTATATATACATCCATAGGCTAGTGGTGGTGTGTGAATTGCAGAAATTCACATCCCTTGCCTACAGCCATGCAGAGTAATAGAGACAACTTACTCTGCGAGACAGATGATGCAGTGGTTAAAACCTTTGTTAAACGTGCATGTGTGGTGTCATTTTTCTTGATACTGTTAGGTGTACTTAGAGGCAACTGTAACACTTGTAGTCCAGTCTCTGTGGAAAGTGGTACAGCTGAGTGCCATTTTGTATGACGACTTAAAAGTCAGTTGCTTGACCTTCCTGGAGCTCTTTTTGGAGTTTAAACTTTGTAACTTTGTGAGCTATGTATGATTTCTGTTACCTAATTGAACTGCCATCCGTATGTCTGCTGGCCGATTCAGTAACACTGCCCTTGTTTTTTTTATAGCTAAGCTTTCCCATTGTATGATGCATGGGAATTATAATTGCCTTTTATTGATACACATTCTATAGCATTCTTCTAAGTCTATAATTTCAAGATATTAAAAGGCATGAGTTAACTTGCAGAACTGATAAAGTTCCCGCTGAAACATAGCGAATCAAGAATTTGCCGTTTCTCCTCTCCAGAAAACCCCACCTGTATATTGTCAGCTTCTGGTTCAGCTTCAACAATGTTTCTGTTTCTTCAACTGATAAAAAACATTAAGATTTCTGCTCACTGTCTTCAGTGCTGTATGCTGGCAGACATTGATCTGTGTGTGCAGAACAGTTCTCAAGACATTTCAGTAAGAGTTCCGGCTTCCCTTGTTTGCTTCCACCCATACTCACCTTTAGGATGCAGTAAAATGACCTTGTGGTTTCCAGCATTGCTCCGCTGTGCCTAGAGCTCATGTGGACTTGACTTCTTCAGTGTCCAGCCTTATACAAAACCTGTTGAATTCAAGAATGTGACTATTTCCAGTTTCATCCCATGGTGTCTTTCATGGTGCAGACCGGTAACAGAAGGTTGTTTAGAAAGAGGCATCTTTTCTTTTTCTGCTTCCTGTACCTCAGTTAACAGTTAATGGGTGTCGCATCCACTTACCAGCTTTTTCTTTACATTAAATTTTCTGTCACAAAGTTTTATACCTATTAATATTACAAAACCTGTTTATTTCTGGTTTTCTGCTATTTGGCTTAGTCTTTTGTAAACATGTTTAGGATCATTTGATGAAAAATCTTCTGTTGTTACCCTTTACTGACTTGGATTAACATTCTTTGCTCATAAAACTGGACTTTTTCTTACTCCTAAACATTTAGGAAATATTTAAAACATTACAATTTGTGTATATATTTAATACAGGTATATTTAAATTTACTGTAGAATTTGAGGACTGAATTAAAAATTAAATGCTTAAACCTGGAAGCAGCAGCAGCAGCAAAGTTTGCAGTTATGAGAAGGGTATTACAGATGCCATCTTCCAAATTGAGTTTTGCAGCTGCCCCAGGCAATCAAATTACAGTGTATTTTACTACACAGTCTCTTCTGTCTTGGTAGGAAAATTAAACTGTTTGCCTTCTTAGCAAAGATTGCCTTCGAACTACCTAAAGCCCAGACCCAGCTCCTCTCCACAGACCTCTAGTCTGATCACTAAACAGGTAAAAACATATTCAAACAATATACTGTTTCTTAATGCACATCACCAATCCCACCTGTTCTCACAGGGAATTATTTCTGTGTCCATGAGTAGTTAGAATTTTTCTCTATTTTTTTCCATACCTTGGCCCTGTGAAAAAGATTCACAGCGCAATCCCAGGTAGCTATATGTAAAGTTGGTGTGTGTGTGTGTGTGTGTGTATATATATATATAAAAAAACTGTTGTCTGCTTGTATCTGATCACCTTTGATTAAAGGAGCAAGACTATGAATTTTACATTTTTCTGTATTTTTTTCTTTTTTCTCTATTCCTTCTTAGAGTCTTTCTACCTAATTATTCTTAGCAGTCTGGTGCTGGTTGATCCACTTGTTTTCCTTTGTTGTCCTTCTCTTTGGCAACAAATGCAGCGCTTTGACCTTTTCAGAGAAACCATGTATTTTCCAAATCTTCTGTATAGAAACATAAAGTTTAACTAGGAAACGTTTCTTGAGAAATAATGCATTCTGGATTTTTAGGAAAAATCAGTATGGGTATGCAATAATTAGGAAATGTGGAAGATAGGGGTTTTATTTAAGATCTCGGTTTTATTCAAGAAATCTGGGACTTTGAAGATGAGTAGATTTTTTGGTATGTTGGTCTTGGGATGTCCTGCTTCAGACACCTGAAAGGGATCAATTTGGTTTTGTGCAATGTTAAAATCTTTACTGATTAATATCAGCATCTACTAACTGAAGTAAACTTTTGGATATCTCTACCAGAATTATTGGAAAAAAAAGTTAATCAGTAATCTTACTATTTCAAAGAGATCTACTCTTAGTCAGTACAATGCTATACTGACAATATAAAACCATAAATTTGGAAATATTGTTTTAAATGTTCATTAAAAGTTTCTGCTAGTTTCTTCTCTTTATAAAGGAACTGACAGGATTCAACTTCAGCATACACAAAATATGCCCATTTACCATTTAGATTTTAAATGTACTAAAATTCTTTTCAGATGTTAGTTTTGGTTTGGGTGGTTTGGTTTTTGTCCCCCCATCTCATTCAGGCACATTTCAGAAGCAAAAGAAACCCAAAACCAAATGACAAAAACACCTTGGCAATATTTAAATTCTTAAATATGTGATATTATTATTTTCTGATATTTCATGATATATTTTTTCTCCTTTTTGGAAATCCATATGATTTAAAGTGAAAGTGTGGTATGCAGTGTCTTGTAAATATGTAATACTGGAAGGTAATAGTCAAAGAAAAAAATGCCAGTTGCTCATTAAGATTCTCTTTAATATTAAATTAATTTAATGGAATGGTAAAAGTGTTGAATTATATAGTATTCAAGAAAACTTTATCCTGAATTCCTTTTGTTGTAAATCAGTTATTTTAGAGTGAAAATGGCATCATGCAACAACTATAATCACAATTCATTTTAAGTTTTTTTTGACTTTATGTATTTACATAATAGCATTTTACCTTATCGGTATTATGTGTGTGTTAGTATTTCTCTGTCCTTAACCAAAGTTATTCAGAAAATCAGAAAGTCTAATTTGATGAGGTCTTTCTTTCTTTGCCATAAGGACATATGACATAGAATGAACAAGAAAGCTGCCCAGTTTAAGTGTTACTTTCTCATATTCTTTCTCCAGATTGCTATATGAAGCTGTACATAATATAAACACATATTCTTGTCTCTAGTTAGTCACATTATAGTTAATGACCATATGGTCATTATGGTATAAGATCTACTGTCTGTTGTATTTATATTCCTCAAGCATATTGTTCCTTCAACTTCACAGTGTGTTAAACTATTTCAAAGGGAAAAAAATCCTTTCCCTCTTGTTTCTGGTTGTCCTATCAAGTGTAACCTTGGACCCTTATAGAGCAATTAGACCAGCCTCTATCCCCTCCTTTGTAATGAGGTTTCTTGCATTTCTGAGTCTATAACCCTTTAGTCTTCCCTAATGGGACATCATTATTCTGAAAGAAACAATGTAAATGTAAATGAATATTCTCATTAACGAGTCACAGAGAAACCTTTAGTGGTAGCGCTGTGGTAATTCTGCTTGTTATTTCTCTGGTATTCCATGCAGATTTTTTTTTTTTTATAATTCATTATTAGTATTCAAAATTACTTCTTCTTTAATTCTGCATGTCTTTCATAATCCGGTGTTCCAACTAGTTCAACCATGTCCTTGTTTTATTCTCCAGGAACCACCTGTGAAACGTTCAAGGTCTCTGTCCCCAAAGAGCTCTTTTAGAGAGTCAGAGGAGCTAAGGAAGCTTAAAATAGCTGAAAGGAAGATTGAAAACTTAGAGAAGACACTACAGCTAAAGGTGAACATAAAAAAAAAAAACCAAAAAAAAAAACCCTCTAGCTATAAGCTTGCATAGATAAAGGTATACCAAAATAAACAGACATTTTAAAAATGCGAAATGCACATATCGTTATGGACTATAAGTGTGTTAGCATAAGAGAGCACTCTCCATTAGTTTGCCTTTTTTCTTTACTGCTAGGAATCTTGTGTTGGTACTCCTGCAGTCCTATGGAAGCCTAATTCAAGCTGTCATCAATAATACGTGCTTGTTAAATACATTTTCAAAATTTGCATCTGAGAATATATATTCTGAGAAATTAATGTACTCATATAGAAATAAAGCGAAGCAGAAAGTACAAAGTTGGTTGGGGTTTTTTTGTACAGTGAAGCCAGTGTTTTAAAATGCTGAAGTCAATTACTTGAAACAGATTTACCCCTTGTACTCTTAGAAGTTATGACTCAGAACTTGTTCTAACAAATACTGTAAAAAATCCCCAACAAACACCCCCTCCCCACCTGCCCCCAACCCTTGGTAGAAAAGCTTAATTGAGCATGTATTACAATTTTCCATTTTGTCCCCATTTTATAGATTTTTGTTGGTTTGTTTTTTTATTTCAAAAATAGTATCTTTTGAATGACCTATTGGTTTCAAATTGCACCTCAGAATGCAAACCCCAAAACCTGACTCATATTTTCTTAAACATTTACAATTCGTACTCTCCTCCTTTTCTCCTTCCCCCGTTTCCCATTCCCCCCTTCCCCCCCTCCCCCTTTCCCCCCTTTCTCCCCTTTTCCCCCCCTTCTCCCCCCTTTTTTCTCCTTTTTTTCCTCCTTTTTTTCTCCTTGCTTCTTTTCTCCTTCGTTTTTTTTTGTTGCTTATGTTTGTTCAGAGTTATGGAATTTGAAAGGTATTTTCCATATATGTAGCCTAAGGCAGAACTGGTTATATTGAACATGCTGTGATAAATGTCAGGTAAGTGAAAAAATTTGGGGAGCCCTACAAACCATAGTCCTGAGCTTCTGCCTCATGCAAAAAGATACTCTTATGTGATAAGTCAATTTTAGAAAAAATGTGAGTGGGAATTATTTTAGCACAAATGCAAAAGTTCATCACCTTGTATACTTGAGAAAGTTAATGTAGTGTCTTAACACACGTAGACTATATGAACAGGAAGGATGATTTAGACTTCAAATTCAGTTTTCCAGGCCATCTTGCTCCTTTTTCCTGGGAGTCAGAAGATGAATTTTGTTCTGTCTTGTTCTGTTTTGTTTTGTCAGCTCTACCTGACAACTGGCCTTGGCAGGCCTCCTGTTTGTTACTCTTAGTTGGCCTGCTAGACACTGATGCTACAGATTATCCTGGCACTGTGGACTACAGCTGCCCTGCCTTTGGCAGCAAAGCTCACACATCAGTGTGTATGGTTGTTGTCTTAAATGATAGAAAGTCCCACGTTTCTTTGTGTTTCCTTCTGGAAAGAGGAGTGAAGAGAAGCACTCTGATTTTCTAAGCAGATACAGAAGAGAAAGGATTGTTATTCTCTCTGCATGACCTCATAACATAGTTTTTACCTTTTGCCATACTGTCTTTGTCATTTCTTCCATTTCATCTTAAAAGCATAATTTAGGAATCTGTGCAGCTTTATTATGTTGCAAGTGCGGGATCTCTTCATCACAGCTGTTAATCCATGAGGTCTTTAAGGGCTAAGTCTTATAACTCCCCTTGAAACTGAATATATGAACTCCGTGCACTTTCTCTACGAAACCTACTTGGCTTCTTTTGCAGAATGCTTTAACTGATTGAAAAGAAGCTGTAGAGGCCCAGGTCAACATATTTAAACACTGTTGTGGTACTACATTCAGAATTCAATGAGGCTATTGCCAACATGGCAGTGAACTCAGCTGTCATAACATTAATATCAGAATAATTCTATTGGTATTGTATGATTTCTTGATATTAGCCTCCTCTCAGGCATTACTTCCAATAAGGAATAATGCATGTGATCAACGTTTTTGAAAATGGCACTTGCATTATTGCCTCCTGAAGCAGTGTTGACTATATGATTCCTTGAAATATACTTGCTCAAATGCTTTCTCTATCAGTAAACATACTGATGATGCATATCCTTAAGATGAAATTGTGACTTTATCGATCAGTCCTTCTGCAAAGTTGGTAACAATTAAAACAAATATGAACAGCTTTATTTTGGGGGTTTTTAGGAACAGGAATAGTTGGTATTACAAAGGAACAGAATAGGGTAAGGTCTCATTCACAGGATTTTCCAGTTCTCCTCAGCTGACTCATTTCTGGCCAAGAAAAGTTGGCTCTTACTGTTTTTATTGTTAATATAACTAGGGTAATCATGTAAATTCAGAGTGTCCATAGTTTTGGTACAGAGTCTGCTTAATTTCTGCACTCCAGGACATACTAAAAAGTAACAGAGCATGCCTGATTGCACCCTAAAAAAAAATAGGGAAGAGAATGTCAAAATAAATGAGAGTATTTCATGGATTTTGAATAACAAATTATCAAGCTGGTACTTAGAATGGTCCAAAGCATAAGTATATCAATCTTCTGTTGGTCTTTAAGAAGTGGGTAGGAGTTTGGTTGCCAAGAGTTAGATATTTGAGGCGAACTAAGAATATGTTCTCTTCTCCCATATTATGTTTCTAAAACTGTCATCCCTGGTGTAGTCTAGAGGAGATCTTCCTGGCTTTAACTGGGAAGTTTTCAAAAGCAGTAGGAGATCTTCGCTTTGAGTTTTCTCATCCTTTTTGTTTAAAGTTCTAAAATTTTGGAGATAATTAGAACTAGAATATGTAGATTAGTCTTTAGAGCCACCTTAATACTTGTTCATGTGAGTGAGGGCACACTTATAGTTAGTTTAGCTTTCATATATAGTCCTGTTCTATGTATGGTGTTCAGATGCTGAAAATATATTAATATTGTGGCTTTTTCACATAACTACTTGTGGAAAAAACTATTTTTGTAATGGTCAGGTTCCTCACTTCTTTTCAGCCTAAGAAGAGTAGTCAAAGAATTGAATCAGTATGTTTTTTAAATTCCATTTTAGCTCAATTTTTACTGTAACAGAAATTGTTACAGGTCAATTTCAACAAAATTTTGAAGTAGTGTTTAGAATCTTTTGGCTTGTCTGGGCTGCCTGCAAATAGCAAAATGACATTTTTTTCACAGGCAGTTGGGTTCTTCCTCCTGCAGATTGGACTTTGCCTTTTTGTCTTTAATTACGTCATGGGAAGTACTATAAAATGACAGTAGAGAGGTGAAGAATAACCTGGAGATCCGGCCCTGCTAGAGATGGTTGTTCTGTTCCATTTCTGTCAATATATAGAAAACTGTATACAAGACAGTTTAATTATTAAAAAATATAATGTAATTCAATCAGAGAGAGATGGAACTAACTGAGATTATGGAAATTACAGTGTAAATTTAAAGTTCTGAAATGCTTAAAAATTCAATAAAAGAGAGTGATTCCGGACAGTTAATTGTCTAATTTCTTTTTCTGTGAGAGCAGAGCAACTGCTAAGGGAAGGGAATAACTAACAGTATGGATAATTGAACAGGTAAGCAATAATGAAAAATGTAGATTCATAAATAGGAAAGGCCAAATTCTGCACTTGGTTGCATCTCTGAAAGGGCATTGACACTAATAAACTTCTGAGGATTTATGCTGAAGACATCATTTTCCAGTACCTTGCCAGACTTGATCAGTTTTCTCTAGCAGTATCAAACAATCACAGAATAATGATCTCATGAACTTATTTTGAAAACATAGCATATATAATTGGATTCTTATAAAAATTTCCTGTTGTAGTGTCAAGCAAAGCTTGGTAATAGTCTCTATGTCCTTTGTCATAAATTTATCTTGCTATTTGTGTGATTGTTTTTAGTATAATTGTAGTATTTAGATGAGCTACTTAAAACCAGTTAAAAGTACTTTTTAAGCAATTCTAAATTTATAAATGTATCTGGTTTAGAGGTTGTTTCAGAAAAAAACCCCACCGCTTTGGAAAAGTGTTTAACGGTAAGGTCACTTTGGTATCTGCTTGTATTTCTAAATCTGCTTTGTGTGTTGCCTGAGTCACTTCCAGAAAACTTCTGGAATTTTATATATAGTAGCATCTGAAATTTTAGCTCGTATCTTTCAGCTTTGCTTATGAGTCATGAAAGCTGGGCTACATCTTAGAAGCCAAGCTTAGTCTAGGTACTTTGTAGTTAGCACTACCGTAGACATCCTTGCCATGTTTTTATAGTGGGATTTAATTTTTATTGCTTACAGCTCTGACTATTGGTGTATCTTATTTATTGACTAATGCTGAAAAGCTCTCCTTGCATATAAGCAGTAAATGCATGCAAATGAAGTATTGTTATTTACTTAGAGATTAAGGAACATGTTCTGTAGTTGCTCTACAAGCAGAGCTCCCATTGAACTGGAAATGAAGCACTGAGGGGGCAAATTTTACTACAGGACAATGTCTAGTGAATTCTTTACAGCTGTATGCCAGAATTTGACTTGCTTTATACTGTGGAATGTCCTCTTCTTAATGTTCATTTTTTTCACAGCACAGTATTTTCACTTCAGAAAATCTCTTTTTAAACTTGTATGACATTATCCTATAATATAAATCAAGGTATATCTTACTTTTCATTCTGTAAAAAGAGAGTACATTTTTTCATATGGTTTTGATTATATAAAAGCTATTGCAAAGTTTGTTTTTATTTCTTCTTGTTGTTACATAACTAGAGGACAAAGTCTGAGTGTTGCATGTTTATGTATATTTACAGAAATAAATTGATATATGAGGAAATACTGAAGCCATTTAAATTGAGCTTTTATGACGTGGACCTCAGTGTGGCCAGTGTTTCCCTCAAAAATACGGAGAGTAATTTTCCATGGGGGGAAAAAAAAGAAAAAAGTAGTTCGGAGGAAAAGACAGTGCCAACAATCCTTTTTCAGTCTATGTATTTTTAGGTGTATTAGGCCAATGCATTGATGAGATGAAAACTGACATTTTGATAGTAAATTTTTTTAAAACTTCTCAGCAGCATGAAAAAAATATTTAAGTAAATTTTGCCAAATTAGCAAAATTTGCCAAAGTAGCAATAAGAAAAATTTAACCTCAGGGATTGTGACTCCCGATCTTTCTATTTAGATTTCTGAGGCTCTTAATATTTACTTAAACAGAACTTTTGTTTCATGTGATCTGTGTGAAAGTCTCTTACATTTTGCCCAACTCTAATTTTGTTTTTCTGGTGCTATACAGACTCAAGAAACTGATGAGCTAAGAGCAGCCCATGAAAAATGCAAAGAGAGGCTGCAGATGTTACAGACCAACTACAGAGCACTAAAAGAGCAATTAAAGCAGTGGGAAGAGGGCGATAGCAGGTAAGTTACATAGCTCATTAAAAACATTTCCCTTACACAAGAAATCTGAACAGAAGTATTATACAGGTATTCAAAAGAGAATATGATTTGAAGTAAGAGGCTACCATGTGGTGATCAAGACTTTATCCTTTGTTAAAGCAGAATACATGGCATACCCCTGTATGAGCAAAATTACAGTTGAAATCAAGAGTAAAATGTATTGAGCTGACACCTTGACTTATTTTATTTAGGATGTCATTTTGAGCCTGAGTACTGGGCAAAGGTCTGCTAGGGCTGCTGATTTATGCTTGTCTAATTCCCCAGTCGATTAATTTGTTGACTGTGTATGTTTTTAATTTTCTATAATAGAACAATTGCTCCTTATGTATGCTCCAAATAGTTTTTAAAAATAATTTTATTCATTAAACAATATAGAAATAACAGCCTCTCTAACATTTAGTGATTCAAACATTAACTGAAGCTGATTCTAAAATCCCCTTCTTAATAGCAAAAAAAGAGTACGTGCATGAAAAGCAAGGTGGTTTCATCTGTTAATTGATTATAAAATAAATTATTTCTGATTATTCTACAAAAATATTGCAGTAATATATCTTTATTAATGGAAAGAAGAAAGACTCTACCACATCAAAATTTAAATAGCAAATATTCTGTATATAATTCTCCCTTAAATTCTATACAAAACAGTGAAAAATTTATGCAGAAGTTCCTTTTTTTGAAGCCCTTAGCAGAGAGTTAGAATTTTTGGTAAACAGACACATTTGGAGGTATGAAGACATTTCTTATCACTTCAGTTATCAGACACTGCTGAGGTACAGTTTTTCTGGCCCTGTTTTTTTCAAGAAAGTAATTTGAGCAGGTCATTACATCCTGGTGGCTTTAGTAGCACTTCAGTGTGCACCTACAGTTTAGTACACACGTGTTTTACTAAAAATAATTCTTTTTGTAGTTAGAGCAATACTGACTAATCTTGACACAAACTTTGTAACTCTCTCTAAGCGAAGAGAGTCACAGAAATTGCTGCAAAACTGGTAGCCATTCAGAGAGTCCAGGGTGACAGAAAGGGTCCTGCTGTGAATGATAAACTGTCCCTCATATATAAATAATGCTTTGGCCTATCTGAGTAGATTTACATTGCTTTGTAATGCTATGGCATTTCCTTAAGAATGGTTTGTCTTTTAAAAAGAAAAAAAAAAGTGTGGATTTAAGTAATGGCAAGATACAAACCTGCTACATGCATTAGTAGCACAGGAAGATTTTTTGAAATATCAAAGCGTAAATAAGGAATAGATTTGTTTAAATTGGAATGAAAAGGATTTGTTTATTTAGGAAAAACAGGGATGATTTTATCTTCTAGCTCACTATTTTAAATTCAGTGCAAGCTGGAAACTACTGAAACCTACTGAATGATAGTTACTTTATGCAATGAAATGATTTAATTCTGTGTCTAAGCTAAGTAGGCATTCACAGTCCACAGAGAGGCCAAGGCTGAAAAGGTACAAAAATTCAACCTAGATAAAGACAGTAAAATCAAACTTGATTTACAGTGAAGCACTGGGTGTTCTGGTTCTGACATTTCAAAGAAAAGGAAGAAAAGAAAAGGGAAAGAAAGACAAAAGCAACTTCTGTTTCTGTTTAAAATAAATAAGACCAGCTTGTGTCCTGACAGGAATATATTTGGGAAAAGCAGATATTGGGGAAAGTGTAGTACTAAATCTTTATTCATTCATCTGATTTTTTTAATCTGTAATTAAGATGACCTGAAAATTACAGGGTTTTGATCATTTTTGTCCTCAGAACAGAATTGTATGAAGCCATCATACCAAAAAGAGTTTGTTTTTCCTTTTTAATATACTTAAACAAAGGGAAGTAGCCAAGACACAAATAAAAACAGTCTGTAAATGGTTATACTTTACACTGTTGTTTTGGTATCTCAAAAAGCTTTATATATCTGGTGTAATTTGTGCATTAAGAACTCAGTATCAGGTATTTACGTGGCACTTCTGATCCTCTGTAAGTGATGGAGGACACCATTCTTTTCTGATTCTTCATAGATTAGAATCTGTTATCGAGATGGCAGCTGATGGGACCTAATCCGCCTGTCAGTGTACATACAACTTCCACTGACATACGTGACTGCAAAGATGATGGGGGCCTTATGAGGTTACCACATTCTCTGAGACTTTATTTCTGTGCCCGGTAGGAATTTAAATTGCAGAGAGTTTTCAATTCATTTTATAAAGGATTTTTTTAAATACAATTTTTATCTTTTGCATTATTAAAATACACTAAAAAATTGTAATGACAGAAAACCTGTGAAATATTTTAATTTTCTGTGCGTCTAAATTCAATATGCTTTTTCCTGATGCATCATCTTATCCAGATAGCTTATTCTTTCATTAGACAGTAGATCAACAGTTTGATTTAGAGTGGGCATTAGTGCAACTTCCAAGCTGGTTTGCAGGGGCATTAGGGGAGCTGGTGGCTCTCCTTTTTTTGCAAGGGATAGTGTGATGGTTTCATCTTCTGCTTTCTCATACCAGTATTGTAAGGAATGTTGACAGAATGAATGCAGGTGACACTGACCTGCCAGGAGTCAGTTGAGAGCCATGGTACCATATTAGCACTATTTCTGTCTGAAACTGCGTAACTGAACTTTTCTGTAATACCACATTTAAGGTTTCATGCCTCACAGAATGTATAAATCAGACAAGATTTTTATTCAGTAGATAGTGCAGTTTAAAATTTATATTTTCTGAAAGCAAGGATGCTTTTATTCTTGTGGTTCTAAAACACGTAGATATTTGAAAACAAACAACATCTTTTTACTCAAACAGGGTTGAAAGTAGTAAAACCAGATACCTGCATGCAGACCCCCATCAGCTTTGTCAAGAGGATTCTGATGCTGTGTGGAATGAACTGGCTTTTTTCAAAAGGGAACACAAAAAGCTGTTGATTGAAAAGTGAGTTCATTTCTTAAATGGTGTTTACATAAGGAAACATTCTGCTGTTTTTTCTGAGGGTAGTGCTTTGCAGGCCACATAAGAGGAATTCCTTGCAAAATTCAAGATAAAATCATCTTCTACCAAAAGCAAAAAAGGAAAATATCAGCTCTTCCCCCCCCCCCTTTTTTTTTTCCTCTTAAATCAGTGACAAGTTACAAGTTTGCTAGCACTAACAAAAACTGTATTCCATGATCTAGGGATTGTGTTAATTAATGTGGCTCTCATCTGTTGGAGGTGTCGCTCTTCATTAGCCTGTATTTTACACACTGCCGTGCTTCATTTTTGGAATGAGGTGGTGAGGGGATAACCTAGCCAGCCATCCTTGTTTGATCTCTGTGATACATACGCAATGCAGAATGCCTCAGCTCTCTTGGTTCCCTGCCCTGTCCTGCTAATCCCAGCTGAGCTCATTATGGTGTAGCCTTGCTGCTACTCCTGGAGCCAGAGCTGTCCAAGCTAATTACTGGTAGCAGCAGAGCTGCCTGTTAAGGGTCTGGTGTGGATCTGCTAACATGGTCCTTGGTAGTGACCTGCAAAAAGCACGAGGGAGTTGCTCTCTTTCTTGCTGTGCACAGCCTGTCCTTTGGGTTTAGTGCTGATCCCTTCACACAGCTCTTTTAGCTGTAGTAAGTGTAAAACTTGGTGAAGGAAACTCTTACTTTAGAAAACATACAGTTTGCTGCTTTGATCTCATAATTCATAGGCTATTATACTCAGCCAGGCAAAGTAAGAAAATGTCCTTTTATACTAAACAAAAGGAAGTTAGTATGGTATAATTAGCCCTTTGCTGGTATTTAACACTTTCTGTAAGTCAAGTTGATTTTTTTTTTTTAAATTTATTTAAGAATAAAGACATCATAGAAACTTTTATTCAGACTTCGTTTTTGTCAGCGTTAAAGAAAATGGGTTTTCCCAATGGGTCCCAATGTAAACTGATTTTGTGGAGATACCATGAAGGCTGCTATCACAGAGTTTCAACAGCAGCAAATTGTTTTGTAGTATGTAAGTCCTTGTGTTGCCCATAAGCTGCTTTAGCGTATTATATAGAATATTGCCAGTAGCTGTGTTGCATGGGGTATTATTATATCCACCAGTTACAACTGTGTGTCTGTTCTTGTCACTTCATTGTCACATCTTTGTTTGCTGTTTTGAAACTGTCACAACAAATTATCACATGTACTTCTTTTGTTTATTTTGATTTTTATGTAGGGAAGAGCACTTTCTTAGCATACATGTAATTGCAGTTGTAATTCTCCTTCCATCACTAATCAACACATGCACCACAGGCAACAGTAACTCAGGAGCAATAACATAAGCCTCTCCTTTTCATACAAAGCCGTGAAAGAGAGATTGGTTATGTATTGTGCACACCCTGAAGGTTGGTACAGTTGAACTGTTTTTCTAGAGCTCCTGTGCAGTCACGTTTATGGGGAACATTCTTATGCCTGCTACATTGCAGATAGGTAGCCTTGACTAGGTTGTGGTGAAGTGGCATAAGCAAACAGTTGAGCTCTTTGAAATACAGAATTTTTAAGTCAAAATGAGTTCTTAAAATTCTGTATACTACTTAGTAAGAAGCCAGAGCACCATTGTGATCATTAAGGTGAACTCCTTGTGTGGGTTTAGGTGCTTTTTACTCCTTATGGGCAATGTAGCTTATTGTTTGTTGAAGTAAGGAAGGAATGAATACATAACTCCCATGTTTTTTATATCTGCCTTCAACGTCTGTCTCTAATAATGACTGTCTTTAATTAGTTGAAGCAAGTCAGCATTTCAAGATCTGAGCTCATTTTCTTAAGAAAGTCAATACTAAATTTAGTGTCCTTTTTAGATCTGTGGATAGGACTTCTTTATATTGCATGTATTCTTTCTTAAGCTCTGTGGGTAAAGGACATGATCTACAGAGTTGTACCAATTACTTTTATGTGTGATTTTACAAGCAGTGTAAGTAAATCAGGTTAGCCCATAGTTTTTGTGGACACACTTAATTTGATAGACCCTACTTGATTGTTAGCTTAAGTTGATTTAAAACATGTATAAGCCAAATCCAACGCAGCATTGCTTAAAGAAGAGTGTCTGTGTAGGGATTTTTTTTTGGTATATGTTTGTTTTAACTTTAAATATGTGTAATTTCTGTCTGTGACTAGGCCAGAGAGTGAACGTTAGGAAAACAGAATTATTTGTTGGTGTTTGTTTATTTGTTTTACCTGTAAGGAAGATCCGTCCTTCCGTCCGTCCTTCCGTCCGTCCTTCCGTCCGTCCTTCCTTCCTTCCCTCCCTCCCTCCCTCCCTCCCTCCCTC